TGATCAGTTTAGGCAAACACACGTCTCAGTGTGAATAATGTCCATCGCGTGTTTACCTCCCTTTAAGAACTGTGACGATGGTTTAAGTGGAGAGGTCAGTAGAACACTGAGGTCCTTCTTCTCTTCCACATTAAAATGGGGCTGCCCGTCAAAGATGTTTCGGAAAGCATCGTCATCACCGTTGGTCCTTCTTATACGGTGTCTTAGAATTCTACTCTTTTCAAAATAAGAATTTAAGAGCCAATGAACAGACCGGCTGCTAAGTCGGTCAAGAATCTCTCGAAGTGTATGCCTAACTTCGCCGGACCGGATGGATCTACAGAGTTTGACATGGTCAGCAAATATGAAGGCGCTGAAACCTAGGTTGTCGAACCAGTCTCTCGAGGGTTGAGGTCAGAGGGAAGCCAATTAAAACGGGGTATGGGTTGACTTCGAGGTCACAACGCAGACAGTTTGCGATCTTCCTGCAAAAACTCGGTGATTTATATTTGCAGATTGCCTCTTATTACAATTTCTGATAGTTTGTAGATTAGACGTTTGTGTGTAACGCCGTCGAACGTCACCCAAAAAGCCGGTGCAGATGACGTCAACCCTACCATCATTGTCCAGCATACGAGCCTACTGCTCAGTCGAGAGCAACAAATTGGAAAGGCAAGAACGCTTCTGTCTTAAACCGCACTGGAGCCATGACAGCAAGTGTTTATCTATGAAAAACTTTATCATTGCTTTTTAAAGAATGGTTTCTGTCACACTGCAGCAGGTTCAGTTTATACCGATGGACGATAATTGTTGACACATTTCCGGGTCCCACCCTTGTATATTGAGTGGATATTTGCTTCAAACCATTCGGATGGCAGTCCCCGAAAGTACAATGACGAGTGGAAAATATTCGCTGGTGGTTTAGAACGTTCGATTGCCAATTCTTTTAAAAACTTTGCCGGTACACCCCCCGGACACGATGACTTAACTCCTTGAGATTCTGAAGTTCTCTGTCCACAGCAGCTGCTGGTAAGGGTATAGACTCAAACACTGGCCCTGCGTTTGCGACATGGCTGTTGACAGTGTAAATATGGAATTCCTCCCCGCAGTGAATATAGAAGCAAGATGTTTGCCAAGTGTTTGGATTTTTTTGCTGTTTTTAACGAACTTTATGTCATTGTCATCCCTTAGTACTAGGCTGGGTCCTTGCTTCTTGACCAACGGTTGATATTTTGGAATAAAGTCTTGGGCTTCTGCTCGGATCGCTGAATAATTCAGGATTAATGGTTTTTTCTTACCGGCCAGATCCGTGTTTAAAAGCATGTCATTGGTGACAGATTCCTCGAGGTGTTATTGTAAACCGGTTTCCCTTAATTTTCTCCGCTTTCTAGTTTTCTTCCTTAACTGTCTGTTAAGTCCACTTATTAATCAGACAGAACGGTTAGTTGTTTTTGTCACCTCCACTAAAAAGCAGCACAAAATCAGGTCCGCTGAAATCCTCTTCAACTATTGCCAGTTTTTCGCTGGATTCCTGATAAACAGGCAGACCCAATTTACGGACATCAACCTATTCTCCATCATGTAGAAATCTGCCTTTCATATATGTCGTTAATTTTCGGTCCCCTGTTGGCGCTGAGAAAAGAGTAAAGAATCCTATAGGAGCGTCGTATGGTCACTATCGCTGAGAGGTCTATTGAAATATACTTGCTTAATGTTAGAAAAATCTTTCATGAAAACTTTCCAGGCAGTTAGCTTTCTGGTCCTCCGTAAATCTAGTTGCTGACTTTACATTCTCTGCCATATAAAGGTCAAGCGTAAGGTCCAATAGGATGTAGTAAAAAAAACTAGGCACAACGTCAACCGCCAGACTACCCTAGTCTAGTGCAAGTGTGTTGAGACCTCCAATAATTAGAACAACTCGGTGGCTATCCCCTTCCTTGACCAAATGGAAGAGCGAGTCGGGGCACTTTAATCTAACAGACAAACTTATCGCTTTTTTACAGACACTGGAAAAGTTTTCAATTCATAGCAGTACGTTTACTACAGTGAATACTACAGTAAGTTTATTGTAGCACATAGGAATCACGGTACAGCACCATTCAAAAATGAACGTGGAACACAAAATACAAGGCACAAATACGGTGGTTATTGAGGCTAGTTAGGGGCACGACGTATTTATGACAATAAACAGATATCCTTGTTTAAAAACAAATCGAAAATATATATTAACTGCCAGAAATATAAAAGGGAAAGGTATGCTTCTTATAACTCCGATTAGAAGCTTATAAGTGAATCTTGAGGTTGCATTCGCAAATTCTTTAGTCCGTCTGAAAGAAAGTGTGGGACAATGGAGTAAACAGCATTTGCTTTAAGCATCTTCAGTTGGATGCCTCTTGCTTAAGTTCTGAAAATTCTAATTTAGTTAAGAGAATTACCGAGCATACTAGTCCTTCACGTGTTACAGAATGGGATATTAGCTGTTCTTTCAGACAGCTGCAGCTATGTTATGCATTCCAAAAGTTAGGGAATACGGACATCTACAAGGCAAAATGAACCCTCCTGTGAAGGCATTATTGACCGGATCAGAAGGGGGACGCTCACGGCATAAGTCGCTCCTGCAGGTTTTGTTTTCCCCTGAAATCTCATGACGGCTCTCTGAAGGCCCTGTTACAAACATTGGACAGGTTGCTCGAACAAGCCAGGGAAATTGACATCACTGGCTCATTTGCGGATTCTGTTACAGGAAACCAGGGCATCCTTGTTGTGGTGAATTTCTTTACTGCGACGGCCGGGGCGCTGCCATCATCGGATATCTCGACTAACACAAAGGCTTGAGCCATATTCAACATTTGGATATGTTTTGGGGGTCACAGGATCAACTGAATTCCGATCGATGGCCATCCTTCGAGAACGACCTCGTGAATTCTATATTTAAGTTCTTAAAGGAAAAAAGGATGCGAAAACACTGTAGCACTCTGGGAACAATGAACAGGAAAAACGAACTAACTCCATTTCAATCGACTTGTTGATATATTTCTTCGATAGAAAAGACATGCTCACATAGTACGAAACGTTAGAAATCCTCCTGTTGACCTACTGATCAACGGTACAACACGATAGACTCAGTGTTTTTCCGACACGGCTTCCGACGATCTCAAGTTACCACTGAATCATCAACAAGAAACATTTCGCCCGTAAGAATAAAACTGCCGAGGTTCCATAGACAGAGGGACAGATAAAATGGACGAGTTAAAGGCCGAATAAAATACTGTGGTTCGAATTAACGCCAAAATATTTTTAATATCGGCAAGCCTCATCAATGACTGCTTTTTTCAGAAACATCTTTGTCTGAGGTCACAGTAAAGGTAGCTACAAAATTGCCATTAATGAACTCTGTGCCATTCCTTTTGTATTTACTATCATAGAGCGCAACGCAATTTATTCACTATAAACAATCTGGCACGCGTGAGATCAACACGTGCACTAACATCTGTGACTTGGAACGTTGCCAACTCACAATCCAAATCGGACTTCAAAGTCAACACAGCGTGGGTTTGTGAGTGGTGGACTGGTAGACTGAGAGTCAGACTGCAGTTGCTTCTTCTAAATGCGGCCTCTCTGTCCCTCCCACACGAACCGACCTCTCTTTTCTTGTTGTGTATATCCTAATATTTTGTGCGCCGACCAGGGTGTGTGGTGGCACTCCTAGGTGTGGGTCCACACCGCGCCAGCCACCCGCGGTCTTCTTGACTCTCTTTTGACAGGGGGTCCAGGTGGGGAAGGAGGATGGGCGCGGAAGATGCAGCGCAAGTCTAATATCACTACAAACTAACTCACGCACAAGTCACTGTTCCTGCTTCCACCTAGCGTAGGGCACACGGTTGACACCGTCAAAATCGCAGGTCGAAATTTCGTAAACGATTATTGTAAATATTATAATCAATCACAAAATAATTTGAGATAACTGAGTTATGTACGCCTCAGCAAACGTGTTATTTCGGAGGTTTTACGATTAGCGACTGTATAGGAATACCACGATTGTGTGCATATTTTTACTTCACGCTCACTCTTTCGCACATAATCGATAACAAATCCTGTTTTATAATTTCTTTCCGCCGTTTTGTTTTGTAAGGAAGTGAGACCGGCATAAAATGTCTGTTTATGCACTTAAAAGGGCAAATCAAAGCTAGTTTACGTTCACCAAGACTTTATCATTTCCGGAATCCAGCATTTTAGGGTATTATTATAGCTGAAAGTTGCTGGGAAATACACTCTGAGGCGATACTATTGACACCATATATGGGGGAGGCAGAAACGAGGGAAAGCGTCATCCTCTTTTACCTGGTCATCCAATTTACCAGCCACACGCATCCCCACATAATCAGTCGTCGGACTTACCTATGTCCGTGCTACCTTCAATGAGTGAGTAGACGTTCATGTTTACCTCTTTTTGAATAGTAGACAGCTGCCCGCATTCCGCATGCAATTATGTAATCAAACGGGGTGTAGGGGTGTCCAGCGGTGGGTTCAAGTGACGGTCGTAGTAGGTCGCTCACTTGCTTGTAGGTGCAGGCTACGCCTAGCGTCCATCTGCTGACACCCAATTCTCACATGTGGCTTCCAGAAGCTACGCTTTGCCTAGCGGCCACACCACAGTAACCGTCTCAACCTGCGGGCTAAACCAGGGGACGGTATCCGTCTGTGCATCTGCGCACACGGTAATGTGGAATCCGCTGGCCGGATAGATCTTCGCATCGGCATCGTCGATACGAGGCTCCGTCTGGTACACTGCAGAAGGCAACAAGCTTACGGCGATGTCGTGGGCTGTCCCAGGATAAATCGGGTCGTTCTTCCACTAAACAGAGACGTGACCCATAGTGGAGTTCGGCAGCGCCTGACACAACTAAGCAGCCGTAGTTAGGGATAGCACTGTTTACCCCCTAGAGGAAAGGGGCTAAAAAGGTGCTCTAAGCAAATGATGGGGAACCGCACCGTCTGCAGGCTGCCTGTGGTCGTAGACGTTAAATGCGCGGGTGCAGTGAGGGCAGTTGAAGCAGATGCGTCAGATGTAGGTTGATGCTCCAGGCGCTGGTCCGCCAGTCTCTGTGCGAAGGAGTTGCAAGTGTACCGACCAGGCCGATGAGGGGGCAGTGTGGAGAGGAGAGGTTGGGGGTGTCGGTTTCGGAGATGGTGTCGGTGGTTGAGCTGCTAATATAATAGGCGTTGGGCGACGGGGTGTGGGTTGATCTAGTCATGGTGGATGTGCAAGAGGTGCTGGGTGTGTCGAGACTGTGGTAAATTCCGCTGTCATTGATACGCAGGTGATCGAATAGGCCCATGCGGCGAGTGGACGTGCGGGACCAGAGTGAAGACAAATGGGGCCTCGGCCTTGCGAGCCGTCCAAGCGTCCCGCATCTCGCGGAGTCGCGGCGACTATGGTAGAAAGCCGTTCTGTTGTTGTCGGTGGGGCGTTCGAAGTAGGCTTTGTTCAGACGGTTTTTCTCGGCGAACAGGTTGCTGACGACGGCATCGTTGTCGTCCAACCAGTTCTGGTGTTGGCGGCGTGCGCGACTGAGGATGGCCGGTGACGTCGCCTGGATTGCGTCCCGCAGTTTACACCATCGCTTCTCAACAGAGGCGTTCTCTTCAGCGACAGCGACTTATAAAGAACAATTTAAGTGTATTCTTCCAAAACGCTACAGGACCAAAGATTCCAACCAGGACATTTAGTCAGTCGGATTAAACGCCGAAAATTAGTCCCAAAACTGAAACTAGGACTCCGAAAGGTGAAAAAAGAATCGGATAATCTACAAAAATCAGGTAATACAGCGTCCTCCTATATTTTGCTCATTGAGTTCACTGCCAGAGTAAACATTTTACCTAATCTACTGTCCTTATGTAAAGCAGAAGCATTTGCTTACACATCAACTCGTACGCCTATTTTTGCTTTTGGACGAACACATTTCTATGATTTCCTGTAGGGCTGTCTCTAAGATAAAATTTCATAAATGTCGCGAAGTGAGAAAAGTAACCAGCAAGGGATGATATTGGATGTTTGCAGCATGTGAAGCATGTAACTTCTTCCAAAATCGGCGTCAAGAGGCCCATTAAAACAACGAGATAGAGGAAAATCGAGGCGTTATGGTCCGATGACAAAGCCCATTGCGGAAAAGACTGAGGGACATGCAAAATGACTTACCGAATTGCAAGGCCGAGGGCATCCAAGGATAACTGGTTTACGGCGGGAAGAGGAACTATTTTGCGGCTATCAGGACAGTCAATGGTCCTAAGGCCAAACAATGGCGCTGCCGTTCAGCTCGAATGGCACCATCATGCTCTTGAAGAATGCCCAGTACCGAAGCCATAGACCGGGATCCTCAAGCATGTCCTCCACCGCCCATCTACAGTATGCGGGGGTCCATCAGCAGTACGCCTAATTGGCACAAATAATGACCTTGATCATCCGCCGTATCTACCGGAGGTACTGACTGCAGTTCAACAGACGTCGGAGGGAAAAGATCACGACGCCGACCCAATTCTTGAAGATGCCTACAAACGCGGTGGTCACAGGATCCTGAACGGATTAGTCCCACTGATTCAGGCAATGCTGGCGGGAGGATAAATGCCACAGAACCTCCAGGATTTTACCATCGTCTACCTCTACAAGTGAAAGGGGAATCCATTATACATAAAAATCCCAGCAGAATATCTCTTTTCAGTATTGTGGAAAAAATATTTGCTCGCGTAATTCTCAAATGCACCAACAGACATGGGGCAGGGACTCCCGATAACAAGGTAATGAATATTCCAGAAACATTGTGCAAGATAAGAGATGGTCTTTTCAGCCTGTTAATTGCTAGAAAGATACCAAGAACTGATGACCAGCCTCTTTGTCACTTCTTTTGATCTTACAAAGGTCCGCGACACCGTGAAACACAATGGGCTATTGAAAGTCTTCACAGGATTCACTTGCTTAGATCAGGTTATCCAAACGGTGAAACAACTGCATGATGAATTGATGATGTGCGTGACGGAGAGTAGATCAGCCTCGGAGGCGGGTATACCCCATTTAATCAGTTTAATCTCATGCACTCGGATATGCTGATGGATGTCTTCTGTGGGCATCGGACTAAAGTCAGTGTCTCCTACCGAAGCAAGATAAAACTGCTCAACATTCGACTTAGGCAGCAGAGACCAAAGTAACAAATGCCGGTGCCCATGATCTTTTATGCAGGAATGCCTATGCGTTGAACAGCACCAATACAGCGGATGTGCAAGACTTGCAACCCATTGCATCCAATTGCTTAGAATTCGGACTTACCGTTAGCGCGGAGAAGACAACTACTGCATACTAATCGGCACCAACTGAGGAATGTGAGGGGACCGTAATAAGTCTTGGTGAATCTCGTGTGTTGGTAGTGGATATACTCAAATACTTGAGCGATCAAGAAAGATGAAATTGTAAGCGGACTCTTCGAATTCAGTCCGGACTTTGCCACCGTCATGAAAAGTGAGGCAGGAGAACGGAATAAAACGACAAACACACAGGACCAGTATGCCGCAGACCAATGTCGTCAACTCAATCTCTACTAGAATACCTACATTGCCAGTTTACATTTAGTGCATTAATTAGCTTCGGTGGGTACCTCCAGATGAACCGCAATATCATCATGAATCATACACAGAAGCTTTCACCAGCATCCGTAATGCACACTCAAAACTGCCCATACTGTCCGATGATACTCAGACACCGCATGAGCCTTTTTAGTCATGCGATCGTGCAAGCGTTCACTAACAATGCGGAGAGTGTGAAGGAAGAGCGAATTTTGGCGAGTACTCAGGTCTTGTACATGCTGTTCGACAGGACTAAAGAGTTAGAACTCATTCCGCTGTCTGTAACGTTACAGCGCCGCCCATTTACGGCACTCACACAAGTGAATGATATCTAACTCAAGGCAGCATTTACGGAAGTTCGACCATCGGTTCCGATGATGTACACCGTTTGTCCCGCAGCATGGTGGGTCAGGGATGGTGACTTTCGTGTAAATTAATTTATGACTATGGTTACTTTGCTTAGCATCTACCGCATTCATCCCTCCTCCCCCACCTGAACCCGTTGTTATGACCCGAACAAGAAGACCGGAGGCTGGATTGGGTGCAAGTGTTTGGCGCGGCATGAACTCGTGCCTAGGCGTGCCACTACATCCCCTGGATTTCACCCAACAAGAAAACGAGGGAAGCGGCTAGGAGTGCAAACGAGTGGGAATGACATAGAGGCCAAATTAGGTAGCAGCCATCGCAGTATACTTTCCGTCCTGAGAGGAGGACCGAGTTATCCCGTCAACTGGCAACCTTACAAAGCACGACTTATAGTACACCGTGATAGTCTCAAGCGCGTCAGATGGTTTATGGTGAGGAAAGTACGCTGAGACAGTCGACCTCCCTCCCTCTTCCCATTCCTAGACACCGTTCCACTACCCGAGCCAGTCAATTGGCTGATGCAGGAATTGTACGTAGTGGCTTACAGAGCTAGGGGCCCCGAATGCACATGCTTCGTACACAACGTAGTTCCCACAAAACCCCGCCAGGTTTACGCACGTACGCACGCACGCACGCACAAACCCAAACACACACACGATAGTTCGACCATAGATTTCGATGATATCCACATTGTGCCCTACAGCAGCAGCGGTGGGAGCAGGGACGGTGACTTGTGCAGGGGCTTATAGTGCCGGCAGACTTGCGCGGCATCTACCTACACTCTGTCCTCCTCTCTCGCCCAAGCTCGGTGTCAAGACAGAGTCAAGAAGACCGGAGACGAGGGAGGCCGCAGGTGGATGACTCGGAGGGATCCTCACTTTGGCGCTCCACACCGCATCCCCTGGTCCACACACAAATGACCAGGATTTCAACCAACACAAGACAGATTTGGAGGCTGGCACGGCCGAAGCCGCATCTAGGCTTGCCGTCAACGCCTGGTTCAGATCCCACACTGTGGTGGGAGTGCCATAGAGGCCACATTGAGAAGGAGCCATTGCAGCCTGACTCTCAGACCCCCATCAGTCACGGAGGAGGTCCAAGTTACCCCGTCAGTTGGCAACCTTCCAGGCCACGGCTTTTAGCGCACCGTGATAGCCTCAAGCGCGTCAGATTGTTTAAAGTGAGGAAGTGCGCTGAGTCGCCGACCTCACTATCCCTTCCCATTCCCACACCCCAGCCGCTGTCCGAGCCGGTCAGCAGACTGGAGTGAGGAATGGGCGAGGTGGATGGCAGGGTCGACTGACCATGACTGCGCGCGCCACGAGAACGACCTGGCCCCCCATAGACACACACACACACCCCAGGATTTCGCCCAACGGGGGTTGGACGGCGTGTCTCTCACTTGCGTGAGAGGGCCGTGGTAGGTGCTGTTTCAGCCCGTCCTCAGCCCACCAGTCCACCACTCCACACAACACACACACAACGGGACGAACTGCGTGGACCGAGTGGGAGCGTCAATCAGCAACCTTCCTATCCACGACTCTTGACGTGTCGGGATAGTCTCACACTCAACTCACCCGTGCAGCCGGAGCCGCATGCAGACAGAGTCGAGATGCGCACTTCACATTTGCGTGGGAGGTGGCAGTTGGGTGCTTGCGGTGGGTGAGTGTTGATGTGTGGTTATGGTGGAGGAGGAGGAGGCAGGGCGGAGTGTGTTGTGGTGTGGCGTAACCGGCAGTTGTCTACCGCAGGTCGTCGTGGACGCGCATGTGGGCTAATAGACCAATGAGATGCGTGGAGGTACGAGAGCAGTGTGGGCAGTGGAGGCAAGTGCAGTGGGTATAGGTTGGGGCTCCAGGCACTGATTAACCGGCCTCTGTGCGATGGATTCGCAAGTGACCGACCAGCCTGCTGTGTGAGGTGAAGGTGCGGTCGCATTGAGGGCAGGTGTAGTCCTGATCCTCATCGCTGGAGTCGGAGGCAGTGGGGGTGGTGTCGGTTGTTGTGTCAGGGTGGCTGATGTGCGTGACTGTCGCCTGAGCGGCCGTCGTTGGGGCAGTGGAGGAGGAGGGGGAGGAGGATGGAAGTGATGGTTCGGAAGAGGCGTCAGAGTTAGATGGCGGCGGAGAGGACGGGGAAGAGGCGGGCGGAGGGACGATGGTTGCTGCGGTCCGAGAGGTGCAGTTGGTCCGAAGGTGTCCAATAAGTCCAATTCGTGCCCCGAATGTCCGTTGACTTCGAGGACACGTTGGTAGCGGTTGTGCGTTGGCGTTGCGTATTGGGCGCAGCTGTGATTTGCGTGCTTCGCGTTTCAATTTGGCGGCGGTGATGCGGTTGGCTTCGTAGATCGCAGCAGCGGTTTTCAACGTCCTCCTCCAGGTCGGTCGATTGAGGACGAGCTCTTCCCAGTTGGTCGGGTTTATTTGCAGACGTTTCAGGGAGGCCTCCTTGGCTGCGAGAACCCGTCGCGACATCTCCGTAGAAGAGTCGTTTGGGTAGTCGCTCGTCATCCATGCGCACCAGGTGGCCGCTCCAGCGCAGCTGCATTTCTCTCAGCATGGTGTAGATGCTGAGGATTCCCGTCCGTTCCAGCACATCAGTGTCAGGGGTTCGATCCTGCCAGTTCAGCCGCAGGATTCGACGAAGACGACTGAGGTGGAAGTGGTTCAGTCGGCGTGCTTGCTTTGTGTACACTGTCCGACTCTCCGCTCCGTACAGCGGCGACGATCGCGATGATGACAAGTTGGAGTCGCGTTCACATTGCTGGTTGCGAGGGTAGTGGCAGATGGGGCGTCGGGATTGGGAGATAAAGTATTCGACGTTGTAGCGGCAAGAATGATGGAGATTGCGGCGATCGACTACAGAGGGACACCACGAGTGTGATCACCTGTATAGAGGGTAGTCACCGCAATAGAATCCGTGACAATTTGTGCAGGAGGGACAATGGGATAGTATTCCGAATCAGCAGGTGGAGTTGTTGGGTTGTGTTTATACTAGGTCCGGAAATGTCGGACGAGACCGAGCCGTGCGCGGACTGTTTGTTGGCAGCTTGGACGTTTTGGAGGGGGTTGGGTGTTGATGGTGTGAATTGGAGACGCTTGAGACTTGCGAGGCTCGTCTGGCCTTGGCGGACGCAGACGGGTTGGCTTCGTAGATTGCCGTCCCCCTCCTTACATCTCTTCTCCATTCCGGTAGATTCTGGGAGAGGTCATCCCAGTTCTCGTGGTTGATTTAAATTTATTTAAAAGAGTTCTTCAAGGTTTCTTTACCGCGTCGTTTTTCCTCCCTACCGGCAAGTACCTGTTGCGACATAGCCATGTAGAAGGCCTTTATTAGGTTCATTAAAGCAATGTAGACGTTGGTATGTATTTCCTGACCCTTACCTTCCACTTTCCGGGCGGCGAAGATCATGTTAGTGGTTCCGTGGTGTCCTCAAAGCCACATCGTTTTTTCGACAGAAATCCCTCTTCTAGATGGCCGCTGAGGTGGTTTAAATGGACAAGACGAAGGTCTTCCAGGCAATTTTGAGCAGCAAGATTCCTCTGCGGTTATCGCAGAGTCGACGCTTCTATTTTCGATAGTAGAGATGGACGACTGTCGCGTCCTTGAGGCCTTGGGGATCTTGTCGCTGATGCCACACCTCCAGAAGTTTCGTTGTAAGTTTGCCCATCAGCGGGGAACTGCCGTACTTGTAAACTTCGATTCGACCTGGGTCGCGTCGGATCCTGGCGCTTTTCCGCTGGAGATTTGGTGCACAGATCATTTGGATAGTGAGACGGAAGGCGGAATGTCTAGGTCGTTGCTCGTTTCCCCTTGGGAGAGACGGTCGATGGCGGCGTCGAAGATAATGGATGGCGGTTGTGGACGATTCTGACGTGCTTGACCCGGTGCTTCAGAATTTGCGATTTCTCCATGAGGCGTGCTGTTCCAGTAGAGTTGAGAAGTGGTGAGGCTGCTTAGGTTGGGAGGGGGACCGTAGATTGCCTTGATTGCAACGAAGTAGTTCCTCTTTTCATTGCGATCGGCACACCCCTGGATATCCTCAGTCGTTCGAGCCATCCCGGCGTCCTGAATTTGTTGCAAGCGTTGCTGTGCAAGACGACGACATTCATAAGAGGCCGCTTTGTTTGAATCTGTCGGGCGGCTGAGGTAGGTTACATGTAGTCTGTTCTTTTCAGCCAGTGGGTTTCTGATGGCTGCGTCGTTTTCGTCGAACCAGTCCTGGTGTTGACGACGGACGCAGCCAAGGACACCCACGGCGGTCGAATGGACGACATCCCGCAGTTGCCAACATCGAGTCTCCAAGGAGGCTTTTACATCCGGAGCCTGCAAGTCTTCTAGGCGTTGGGTCAGTCGATTGCTGAAATGCAGGCGGTGGGCAGACAAATTCCCCCGCAAGTCACCATCCCTGCATTCACCCTGCTATGGGGGCGCACGGTGGACATCATTGGATTCAAATGTCGAACTGACACTTTGACCGCGAGTTTTTCATCTACGGGCCACAGTATACTTGCAGATGGTGAGATTTTCAAGCATCTGTTTGAGGCACTTTTTTTAGCCCCGTAGTCCGCGACGGCGCATGTAGTACTATTCTTAAATAGGATTGTTTAGACATCCCAGACGACTGCCCAACCCCATCATTGGTCACTGATTTATTAAGTGGAACGGCAACCTCAGTTAACCTGGGCCGCTTACGGAATTGCGTGTCACCCTCTCCTCAGGACTTTTTGAAGGGGGAAGGCAACCGGGAAGGGAAGCAGAGTTACCGGGTGTGGGGACGCGGACAACACCAGATACCATGGTTGGGTTTGGTCCGCCGGTCGATGCGGTTACCGGGGTGCGGCCGGCAGACAAAGCCTGGCTGCATAGAGCCACATATGAGAGTTGTGTGCCAGTTAAGGGTCGTGCCGAGCAGTCACCACTTGCTTAATGCAACCTGACACAGCTACAGAGTTTTCCACCCCCAACTAAGCACTCCTACATTCCAACTACTATTAACGCCACTAACGGGAATGGCGACAGTAACAGAACTGCTCCATAGTTGGCATTCTTACTACTACTACTACTACTACTACTACTACTACTACTACTACTACTACTACTACTACTACTACTACTACTACTACTACTACTACTACTACTACTACTATTACTACTACTACTACTACTACTACTACTACTACTACTACTACTATTACTACTACTACTACTACTATTACTACTACTACTACTACTACTATTACTACTACTACTACTACTACTACTACTACTACTACTACTACTACTACTACTACTACTACTACTACTACTACGAATGTTACTACTCAAATAAGTGATGTCCTGGTGTTGACTCCATGATACGGGAACCTTCCAATCTGTAAATATTCCTTATATGAAGTGAACTGCGATCAGTGCCCCGACTAAAAGGTCCGAGGAATGATTGCTAATAAAATGCATGCGCGTTTTAAATCAGTATAGTTAGCTGACACTAAGGGCAGCTAACACTTTTTTGAAAGGAACCTGTCAGTTCAATAGTGAGGTAGCATAACTCGCGCTAGCAGCCGCGAGAGTGTCCTTGTGTTTATAATTCTTCTCGGGCCGAACATGTGTCGACGGAGGGTGATGAACTAGCGTAAATACAGCGCGCCCAAAATTTTGGGTATGCACACTGATTCCAACGGCGGGGTGCACACCGTGGCAGAAGTCCGTAGGTCGAAGAGGAAAAAGCACCAGTGACCATTCACTAAAACACACAGAAAATTTCCAATGTTACCCAAAATCAAAAGTCGATACTTTATCTAAAGGTGATTTACTGGATAAAACCCTGCCTTAAAAAGGTAAGCACTGTGCAGTGTGAAGACACCTATGGTAGAAAGTGTCAGCTCGCGTGAGTCCACTTATCAATTATTACAAATCAAACAGTCTATAGCCTCCTATTGTCTTTGATTCTAACCGGTGAACAGGATAACAGTTCAGTATAATTAATTTATTTGTAGTTGCCTTTTATAAGTGATAGGCAGTGTTATGCGTTGCAAAATATTCCTTGAGTCCAAGCTACTGAATGTAAAGTGACATCTGGCGGCTTAAAAAGTGTCAATAAGGGGGAAATAGGACACTTAAAAAGGATCATTTTTCAACAAGTAACAGCTCCTAGTGAGAGATCTAGAACAGATGTAAATGAAGCTTGTCTCCCCACTTTCAACCAGTATTCGGAAAATGGAGTCGGAGCAAAGCTGCACTATCAAAGTCAATGCCAGTGTCCCATGGGAAGTTGCCATCAAAACCGAGGTAAACTTAAAGGGCGGAGATGCATGAACAAGCCATCATTCTGCCTGAGTTCAGCTCTTCGACGGAAGCATGCGGATACAAGTTTCGGATAAGAGCTTGTATCAAGTAACTGGTATTTCCACGGATGTTTCGACCGTGTGCTCATAAATAGTCTGAGCGCCGCGTCCGATGATGTCCATCGAGTGCTCCATCTGAAGAGTTGTTGCATGGCGCGAACGGTTTCTATGAGGGAGTGTGACAGATGCAAGTTGATGTTAATTTCCACTTATGGGAGCCGGTGAATGAAGGCGTCGGTGATTGTAGAGGAGCGGTTTAGGACGCTTCTGAAGTGTTCGGCCCAGTGCTTCTTAATCTACGACTTTTCCGTCAAAAGCGTTGATATGTCGAAGCTGAGAAGCAGTGCAGTTCCTTTGGTGGGGGCGCCGTAGATCGCTATGATTGTAGTGAAGAAATTCTTTGTTTCATCGCGTTCGACGTATCCCTGGATCTCCTCGGCCTTGCGAGTCATCCAGATGTCCTGCACGTCTCTCAACTGTTGCTGCGCTAGGCTACGACACTAGTAGAAGGTCGCTTTGTTTGCACTGGTTGGACAGTCAAGGTGGGCTCTATGCAGACTGTTCTTCTCTGCCAGCAGATTACTCATGGCGGTGTCATTTTCGTCAAAGCAATTCTATTGCTGACGACGTGCGCGGTCGAGGACAGCCAGGGCGGTCGTGCGAACGGCGTGTCGTAGTCAGCACATCGAGTCTCCGCGGAGGCGTTTTCATCTGCGGCTGGCAGTTCTTCCAGCCACTGGGTCCATTGATTGCTGAAGTAAAACCGGCGATCAGGCAAAGACAACAAAGCAGTATTCAGGTGAAGTCGCTTACGTGGTGGCCTCCTGAGGGGTTGTAGACGGAGCTTCACCTCGGAGATTACGAGGTGGTGACCCGTCCAGCCATCGACTTCGCAGATCGCATTGGTCACCCTTGCGTCCTGTCGATCTCGCCGCCTAACCAGAATATAGTCCAGNTTCGGCATCGGCAGGCGGAAGAATGTGTTGGTCAGCAGGAGGCGGTGTTCAGCGCAGGTCCGCGGGAGAAGGAGGCTATTGTCGTTGTTGCCGGCGATTCTGTGAGGACCCAGCCCTTCCCTCCAAGCAGCGCAGTCTGTCTTGACGCGGATTTTGAAGTCGCCAAGACAACCAGCTTGTCCGTCTTCGGCGCAAACACCAGGAGTTGTGCAGGTCTTCGTAGAAATTGGTTCTCGCCTCGTGAGGGCTGGTCATTGGTGGGACGTATGCCTGATGATGGTGGCAAGCTTGGATCGCCGAAGAGGCAGGCCCAGGTTTATCAGTTGGTCGTTAATGCCCTGCGGTAGACAGGACAGTCGTCCCACGATGTCGCTCCGGATGACAAAGGTGACGCCGGAGTCTTAGCGCTCTGCCTTGGGGCGGCCACTTCAGAAGAGGGGGTAGCTGGCATCCCCTCTTTCAGTTGAGATTGTTCGTATGACTGGGTCTTGTTGAGTGCAGCGATGTTTACATTGTCGCGTGTCATTTTCCGAGCGACTATCGCCGTCCTACGTTCTGGTCGGTTATTCTGATGATCGTTTATTAGAGAACGAATATTCCAGGCTGCCAGAATGAGCGGGCTCACCCTAGCAGCCTGTGGATTGGGACGGAGATGTGGGGAAAGGGGAAACGCGAAGTTGTTGTTTCTTATTTTGTTGTTCCAACCGCGTGTTTTGCGTCTGCGAGCTACAGTCTGCATGTAGCTACAGTGGCTACATGCTACAGTAGCATGTGAACTACGTAGTGGCGCCTAACGTAGCTAATCGAACAGGTGAAACGTTTTGTACGAGGTGCTGTTCTACGTGGCATACCGCTTCAGGTTGATCCTACCATTGATTTAGGGCGCCTTTTCTAACCCCTTCCTCCGCGAGGAGGTATGTAGAGCTGTCCTTAAATAGGGTTGCTTAGACATCCTAGGCGGCTGTCAGACTCCTCTATTGGAGACGAATTTTAGTGAGAGATCGACTCGAGTTAGCCGGGGCGGCCCACGTGATCGCATGTCTCCCTCTCCGTAGGATTTTTGGAAGTTAGGAGTGAAAATGCGATTCCCAGGTGGCATATCAAAATAAAAGGAGGCGTTCACCGGGAGAGGTTTTTTGGAGGTCTGACGTTTCTAGTAGTTGTTTCGTGGGTGCGGTGCAGGGGGATGGAGAAGGGTAGAGAGGCGGGAAACAGAGATTCTCTCACCCTCTCTGAACTAACTGATTGCTGATTGCCATCGGTGGTCTTTGCCCTCTCTGTACGACTTCGGAGTGGGAAAGGGGATGTGGTGGATTTTGGTGGGGATGGGAAGGAGAGGGACGTGGAGAGGGAGAAGGGATTGGAAGGGAAGCAGAATTACTGGGTTTGGGGACACTCAATACCGAATACCCGGCCGGTCGAGACGGACGACCGCTAGGCAGCGTCTAGCTTATACGAGACATACATATGTGCGATTTAGGTGCCAGTTAATGGACGCTAGGCGTAGTCAATACGTTCGAGAAAGTAAAAGGTCCTACTATAACCATCACGTGGATCCACATCCGAATACCCCTACACAAACCCCTGCATAAACAACCCCACAGACGACATCGTAAATTAAACAATGGGGGGAGTTGAGACGCTCCGCAGTTTTTGAACGTATTCCACCAATAGCTGCTGTTCTTGTGACGAAGGCACTTCCGCCCCTTAATGACAAGTTAAGGAGTGATGTGCCAGTAGTTCGCGACCGTGCACCGCATGTCACCAGTTGTATGTTTACTTGACGCGGGTGCACAATGCATCCGAGTAATTCAATGCCAAAATTCAGAAAAAAATGTGCATGTGAACTACGTAATGGCGCCTAACGGAGCTAATCGAACAGGTGAAACGTTTTGTACGAGGTGCTGTCCTACGTGGCATACCGCTTCAGGTTGTCAGTATGGCAAAGAATGGGATTGGCTGTTGGACACGCTTCATACGCGGCAATATGCCCAGCTGGTTGTGTGCCGGTCCTTTATATGAGGCTCTGTAGGAAGAATGAACATGCACTAATCTCATCTTCGAAATACTAATGTTTTTGAGGAGACTCAAACCTTGTTTGAAGTATGATCAGCATTTACAGTTCGCCGCATATAGTAGGCTACCTAACTCATGAAATGTGCATAAACTAACGAAAAATATCTGACCAGACTGAAATCAGTCCGAAGGCCTACACCAAAACACCCAACTAATAATGGCTGACCTTCACGTAGTTGAAAATGCAAAATAAGCATCAGAAGTACTATTTCATTGATTAAAAAAAAGCAATTTTCTTAAACGAACAAAAATTTAGAAAACGCGAATATTCGTATTATATGACTAGACTCAAGATTCGGAAGTACCTAGTGCTTGTCCATGCAAAAACCGACTAAATAAAGCAATATAGGCACAATGACGACCAAGAAGACATTTTTACATAACTTTTCATCGAATATTCCCTAAAATGGCGCCATATGAAGTCCGATACAAACCCAAGTGCGTAATGTCGGTGATGTGTTGCACGGTCACGTTCACGACACTTTATCCTTTAGGCGAACCTTTCAAATGACTAGTCTGAGCAAGAGGACTATACGGTAAATCCGGCATCGCCTTGTACTCTCTCTCTTCTTTTATATGATGGTCTTTGCGTCCCAGTTCCACTCTTAGTTTTCCCTTAGTGACTTTTTCGTCGATTCACGCATGCCCTCTGAGCTACAGCCTCGTCATTTTCATGAAGGTTCTTTGAGCTAGTTGAAATTGTAATATGCCCATTACTCATTGTTCAAGTTATGGTGTGACAGGAATCAACCGGAAGGCAAACGCAAGATTCATTGACATTTTGGCAGATTTTGAATGATTCATATTGACCCAACTGTGAAAAACTCGGCGCCTCGGTGGGATTCGAACCCACGCAGTAAGGGGGAGGCTTTAGCGCAGCCAATATGAATTATTCAAAATCTGCCAAAATGTCAATGAATTACGCGAGCCTGGTAGTCATCTGGTGGATTCTAGATGAAT